TTATATCCATGCAAAGATTGGGGCCAAATGGCTGAAGTGTTTGACTGTCAATCTACAGAGTTTGATTTTTATTGAATAGGTAATAGTCACCAAAAAGTTTTAAGCAGATGAGTGCCATGGTCATTTATTGTTAAGGAAAGTTAGTATGGTGATAATATGTATGATAGATTGGGAGGTGTGAAAACTAAGCAGGAAAATAAGAGATGACTGTAATAGTTCAAGTGTGAAGTGATCATGAAGGATGTTAGAATAGAAGACATTTGTTCACTTTATCCATGTTATTCACTGCCATGCCCCTAGTATATAGAATAGGATCTGGCACTTAGTAAGTACTGAGTAAAGATTTGCTGATTCAATAAATGAATTAATGAAAAATTTTAAAATGTAGGCTCTGTGGCAGAAGGAATGACAGAAGGAAAGGAAGGAGTTAAGTTCTTCAGTATTTCAAGCTTTCAGTGTGATTAAACCATTACAGAAATAGAAAATTGAGCAGGGAGAAGTGGTTATGAGGAAAAAAATCAAGAACTTTGTTTTATTCATGTTAAATTTAAAACAACAAGACTCCCGAGTAAAACACTCGATAAGAATTTTGAGTGGGGACTAACATATGAGAGGGAGATGAGTGGCTAGGGTTTTTGCTTTGAGAACCATTTGCATAGAAGTAATAGATACAGTAGTGGTCATGATCCTCAAGGGAATATATAGATAAAGGAGCAGAAGGCCCAAGGGAAGGACAAATTAATCTAATAAAGAAAAAAATACCATGTATTAAATGTTTCCTGTGCATTAGGGACTGAGTTAAAAGCTTTGCATGTATCATTTATCTGTTTTAACAGTCACAACATGCCCTTAATAAGGGTAGGTATCACCTAGGAAAACGGAAATTCAGAGAGGTTAAGTAATTGATCCCAGGTCCTATGCCTAATAAGTGTTGGAGCCAGGATATGAACCTAGATCTGTCTACCCCTGGTTTCCATCTTTGCTGAAACTACTCTCTGTTCATGAATTTCATCTATCTTTTTCACGAAATCCTTTAACATATTTACAATAGTTACATTATAGTCTTTGCCTACTGAGTCCGGTATTTGATTAATGTTGGGTCTGTTTCTGTTTTTCTGTTTGTTTTTCTATTGATTATAGGTCACAGTTTTCACTTTTTGACATCTCTTATTTTTTTTTTTTTTTACATATTTTATGGTAGATACTGAATAAAAAAGAACAGTAGAGACTAAAGTAAATAATGTTTACCCCCCAAAAGCCACATCCCTTCCTCTGTCTGACAGCTAGTCTGGGGTGTTTATTCTGTTTAATCTACAGTTGAGCTGGTTCTGATCTGAGTTGCATTTTGTTTCAGTTTACTACTTGTTTCAAATGATTTAAGAGTAATAATCAGGTCTCTTCATTTATCAGGGCTTATGGTCTATGCTTCAGTGAGTCTAGATATCTCTGTCTCTCCTTTTCTTCCCCTCCCCTTTTCACCCCTCTCATCCTCTTTCCTCTCCCCTATCTTTCCTCCCTCCCTCTCCTCCCCTGCTTTACTGTCCTGCCACCAGTGTTTTGTGCCTTTTTCACAGGCTTATTGCTCTGAGCCTCTCCTTACCTTCTTCCTGACCTTCCAAGCCTTGGAAAAAAATCTTAGTTTTCCTGCCCTGTCTCCAGCCTTTGGCACAGTGAAAGCTCAATAGAAAAGACTCAAGGAGCAGATGTTTCCAAAGGAATCTCTCTCCTCTTCTGTCCTGGCCCTGGCCTTCTGCATGTAGCCACTGTGTGCACTTGGCTAAGGCCTTTGGGAAAGAATTGGAAAGCTATGGGAAAGAATTGGCAGGCTATACAGACTCCCCGGGTCTCCTCTGGACTCTAACAAGCCATCACAGAAGTCCACAGATGGTCATGTGTTTGGCTGCTTTCTACACACACTGATAAAAGTCCCTCATCTGTGGAAGAATACTGTTTGCCCATTAGGAAGGTGGCTATTGATCTTTACTCACCTAGGAAAGGCTCACCCTGATCTGGAATTTAGTTCATCCAGATTTCTTTACATTCTCAGCTCTCTGTATGTAAAACAAAAAAGCATGATTTTGTAACCTGTCTAGCATACTTTTGCTGTTACGGTGAGAATAACTGTCTACTTCGACTTTTTACATACTAACTGAAACTGTTAAATATATTTTAATCATTAATGAATATTGGGCCTTAGTGAAGAAATAGGCAATATGAAAATATTTATTTTTTACTTTTCAATAAAGATTACTATTTTATGTACTTAAATTATGGAAAGAATCATGATGATTCAGTGAGAAACCAAACTTTAGAAAAACTGTTACCTATTTAGCATTTTCAATGACAGTAAGACTGATAGAGAAACTTATCAAAGGGAATTGCAAAACCATATTTGGAATGATCAAGTGTTAGCATGCAATAATGGCAATATTGAGTTGAAACCACAGACCGGAGACATGTTAGGAATAAAGTTGCAACTTTCTTGTCCAGTATTGGAACACAGACTTAACAGGCTTTAGAAAACTAAATTGAATATGTTGTACCACAAACATGTTTCCGGAATGTGCATGTCTGGATTCTCCACTTCCCTAAACTGACCCTTTCTATAATGGGCATACATCATGCTTTTGTGCTACAAGGATGTCGATTTCTAAGAGAATGCTGTGTTTTAGCACAAGATTCATTACAGAAAGTGGTTGACTAGCATGGACTTCACTTCTTCAGAAGCTTTTCTCAGAATATCAAAGGGTCTTGAAGCTGGCTGAAAGTAAGCCAATAAAGATGGATTTTTCTCTGAGGACTTATGTCATTAGAGCTTGATGCTAGTAGAGTTTGGAGTGGCTGCAAAAGACATCATACTCAGACGACTTCTTGGTTCATCTGCTATAGAAACCACTGAGCTCTTTATTCAGATTTCTTGGCCTAGAATCTGTGTTCATGCTGATGAATCAGTAATAGAAAGGGAGAAGAGATTGTGTGTGTTATTTATAGACGCTACATCACTGTTTCATTATCTTGCGTTGTTGAAATATAGGGTGTAGTATATTTGATAACCTTCAAAAGACCAGGGATGTTGTCTCGTTTACTTCGGATCTTCCTCATCTCACACGACCTGCCTAATAATCATCGTTCAATAAATACTGGTTGAAGAAGTGATATGAATTAATATTATGGAAATATTTTTTGTGAACTGAAAATATCACTGGATACATACAAATTTTAGATTTCCCAGTACTGGCAGTCTTTTTATAATGATAATATGTTGGTTTAACATAGCAGCTTAAATTATTTTTACTAGAGACTAATAGAACTACTTCAGTAGGATAACAGCCATGCCAACTTTAATTTAAAAATCCAGTTATTCTTTGGTGGTAGATTATAGAAATTATGGAAACCTTAAGTAAAAAATTTTCCAATGAAAGGAAGCTAATAATTGATAAGGAATACTCCCTCATAAAAAGACTGACCATAAAGGTGAGATCAGAAGGTTCATTTGGTGGAAGGTTGCTGGAATGGGAAGACCAGTGAAAAGGATATCATCAAAAAAGAGGACAAACCCTAGCTAGCAGAATGAGGAAACATCCCTGAAACCCATATCCTGTTATTATTTCTACATTTTCATTGCAGAGCAGATATTAATTTAATTTGATTTAATATGGTAAAGTAATCTGTTCCTGTTATCTGCTCCCATAAGGACCAGCTGCCATAATTCTGTCTTGCCACTTCTGTACTTCATGACTCAAGATGGTGAAAATTTCTGCTTTGCTCTTGGGAACTCATATAGAAAATGCCACCCAGCTTTCTTTCCCTCACTTTTCTTACTGTTTGGCTTTACAGTGTCATTCACATTACTGCTGATCCTTGAAAAGAGCAGTAGAATTCTCACAGATCCATGCTTTAAGTCCCTAAGGGCACATAGTCAAGAGTTTAAATGTAATGGATTCAGAATTATAGCACAACCACAAAAATAACCAGAGAAATAAATGCATAACAATATAAACCTGAAGACTTAGGCCATAGTGCCAGCACAGTGAACATCCATGGAGTCACTCTTCCTTTGGGCTATGAGGACTTTGGACTAGGAGAGGCTATAAGTAGAGAAAGCTAAGAAATTCAGAGTGAAGGAGATGGAACATAGTAATAAAGCCTCAACACAAGAACAGGAAGCTTCTCTGACACCATCAGTGAGAGTGTTCCCTGGCACTGATTCCAGCCATATACCAGCTGAATGGGAAATTATTTTACTCTCAGTCTCAGGATTATTTAAATAATATAGCTTATATTTAATGCAAATTGCAGGCTGTTTGTTGTTTCTTTGCTTGCTTGTTTTTTTAATTTCAGGTTTAATTAGACATGATAAGCTATCCCAACCTTTCTTGGAGTTAGACGTTCCTAAGGCTTGTCTACAGCTTTGGAACTTCATCAGTTCTCAGTACTTTTGGAACTTCACCACTAATAACCTCAAGCATAATAACCATGTTTGTTGACTCCCTTTTGTTCACAGGCCAAAGGAGAGGCCTTAGATTGCTTTCTCTGAGTCTCCAAGAAATGCTCTAAACACAACCTATTTTTCTCCCCATTCACATATAGGTCAAAGGGCAGGGGGGAAGCCCAGTTCAGCCACATGCAGTCTCATTTACTACCTCATGACTAAGTACCTTTTCTCCTTAGCCTTCTTTGAATCTAAAGCTAGTGTCATTCCTAAAATTTATGGTAATCTCTAAGTTTTCTTGTTACACATAAAATGTTGGCCCTTTACATCTTTATATAAGGATTTTGGGATTAATAAAACTCCTGTGCTTTAATGATAACATTTTTCAAATGGCTTTAACACGTTTTAGGTAGAAATATAAAGTTATTTTCCTGTAGCTTGTGATCTATTTTGGAATTAAAGTTTCTTGCATGGATTTTTTTTAGGAAAAAACAATATTAGTTAAGTGAGCATTTTTGCTGTCTAATTTTAAGTTTCCTGTTTTGTTGTTGTTGTTGTTCTCTTCCAGCTTTCTAAGAAGTATGGAGTCCATGTTTGTGGAGAAGGTGGAGAGTATGAAACATTCACTTTGGATTGCCCTCTATTTAAGAAGAAAATAATTGTGTAAGATATCATTTCAGCATTTTCTTCCCTTTCCTTAAATTTAAGTGATGGAAACAACTTAACATTAAGCTTGAGGCAACTTTTGTTGGGAGAAATAGAACGTGTCCTCTAAGTTCACAAACACTCAATTTGTTTAATACCAGTGAAGTCGTCTGAATACCTAAATCAATACCTGACAAGATGAGGCCTTCATAGAAGGCTATAAACTTTTTAGACATTGCACTTTCGTTTACTTGCTGATTATGCCCTGCAGTAAAACTGGTACCTACACACCGACACTTTTATCCTTTCATGAAGTGTGAATTGCCTGTATTATTTATCTTTCATTACAGCTACATTTGATAAACTGCCACATCAGTAGCCTGTGGGTTCCATTAACTCCATCCTCTTTTTCCTTTTTCTTGGCTTTTACAACTTGGAATAGTAATGCTAAACATTTCTCTTTTATTATTTGGGTTTATTTTTACATATAAACTTTGTTTTTGAGTGAATTCGGTTTATGGTAAGCACTGTGATTTCTTTGCCCTAGATTGTTAAAATTAGTGTAATGAAAAACAAGAACTTTCTTTTTTTTCAGTTCGTTAACATTGTTATCTGTACTCTAATTTGTGTTGCTCTTCTCCTATGCTAAGAGAGCACTTTATCTGCTTTTCCTAAGCTCTTATTGTTGGAAAAGATTGGCAGAATTATGCTTGACTTCAGGAACCACGTCTGTTGAAAGATTGGCATCCTGTATCGAGTGGACAGCTTCAACATGTTCACCACTAAGGGGTGATTTCTTTCTACATCTTAATAACGAGCAGAGGAGTGATCTAAGAAAGTTAAAACAGGATGCCTGGGTGGCTCAGTCAATTAAGTGTCTGCCTTCAGCTTAGGTCATGATCCCAGGATCCTGGGATTGAGTCCCACATCGAGTTCCTTGCTCGGCAAAGAGCCTGCTTCTCCCTCTGCCCTTCCCCTTGCTTGTGCCCTTTCACTCTCTCACTCTCTCTCTGACAAATAAATAAATAAAATATTTTTTTAAATAAAAGAAAATTAAGACAACTCTAAGGTGAATTTTCTAAAAAATACATTTATCTAGTGAAACATAGCCAAGACATTTTTCATTATCATATATGTATATTCATCCACTCTTACTTCTTTCATGTTCTTCTAACTTCTTTTCCATTAATAATCATCGAAAGAATAATTTATTTGGCAAATATTTATCAAGTACCTATTACTGTCTAAAACATTCTACTGGGCACCATTGATGCTTTCAGAGTTTGAGTGGAAGACACATCTGTGTACAATTAAGATACAAGATGGTAAGGGATAAAAGTTGTAAGTTCATATGTAGGAGATATTTCTTCTGGCTACTCTGATCACAAAATAATTCATGAGTGAAGTGTACATTAGGTCTTACTTCTATAAGAAAATACTGTTTTGTTATTTAAAAGGAGTATTTGCATGCGAGAGTGAAATTACAGTATAATGGGGAACTTAGTATATTTACTTACTAATATGGGACTAACTAAATTAGTAAAAAAAAAAAAAAAAAAAAGATAAAAGAAAAATGCCGAAGAATACTTTTCCCATTTACTTAACAACTTGAGGTCCTAGAAGTCTTTATGAACAACCTAGAATTATAAAGATGTACTGCTTTATACTACATAACCAGAAGGTCTGTTTATTATACTGCTTTAGACCTGAAAACTGAAACTTTTTTTTAAATTTTATTTTATATTATGTTAGTCACCATACAGTACATCATTAGTTTTTGATGTAGTGATCCACAATTCATTGTTTTCGTATAACACCTAGTGCTCCATGCAGTACATGCCATCCTTAATAGCCGTCACCAGGCTAACCCATCCCCCCACCTCCCCCTCTCCTCTAAAACCCTCAGTTTGTTTCTCAGAGTCCATAGTCTCTCATGGTACATCTCTCCCTCCAATTTCCCCCCCTTCAGTTTTCCCTTCCTTCTCCTAATGTCCTCCATGCTATTCCTTATGTTCCACAAATAAGTGAAACCATATGATAATTGACTTTCTCTGCTTGACTTATTTCACTTAGCATAATCTCCTCCAGTCCCATCCATGTTGATGTAAAAGTTGGGTATTCATCCTTTCTGATGGCTGAGTAATATTCCATTATATATATGGACCACATCTTCTTTATCCATTCATCTGTTGAAGGGCAGCTTAGCTCTCTCCACAGTTTGGCTGTTGCGGACATTGCTGCTATGAACGTTGGGGTGCATATGGCCCTTCTTTTCACTACATCTGTGTCTTTGGGGTAAATACCCAGAAGTGCAATTGCAGGGTCATAGGGTAGCTCTATTTTTAATTTTCTGAGGCACCTCCACACTGTTTTCCAAAGTGGCTATACCAAATTGCATTCCCACCAATGGTGTAAGAGGGGTCCCCTTTCTCCACAACCTCACCAACATTTGTTGTTTCTTGCCTTGTCAATATTTACCATTCTAACTACTGTAAGGTGGTGTCTCAGTGTGGTTTTGATTTGAATTTCCCTGATGGCTAATGATGATGAACATTTTCTCTAATGTCTGTTAGCCATTTGTATGTCTTCTTTGGAGAAGTGTCTGTTCACGTTTTCTGCCCATTTTTTGACTTGACTATTTGTTTTTTGGGTGTTGAGTTTGAGAAGTTCTTTATAGATCTTGGATACCAGCCCTTTATCTGTACTGTCATTTGCAAAGATCTTCTCCGATTCTGTGGGTTGCCTCTTTGTTTTGTTGACTGTTTCCTTTGCTATGCAGAAGCTTTTTATCTTGATGAAGTCCCAAAAGTTCATTCTTGCTTTTGTTTCACTAGCTTTTGGAGATGTATCTTGAAAGAAGTTGCTGTGGTCGATGTCAAAGAGGTTACTGCCTATGTTCAGGATTCCTGTCTCATATTGAGGTCTTTCATCCATTTTGAGTTTGTCTTTGTGTATGGTGTTAGAGAATGGTCAAGTTTCATTCTTCTGCATGTGTTGTCCAATTTTCCCAACACCATTTAAAAAGAGACTGTCTTTTTTCCATTGCATATTTTTTCCTGCTTTGTCGAAGATTATTTGACCATAGAGTTGAGGGTCTGTATCTGGGCTCTCTATTCTATTCCATTAGTCTATATGTCTCTTTTTGTGCCAGTACCATGCTGTCTTGGTGATCACTGCTTTGTAATATAGCTTGAAATCGGGCAGTGTGATGCCCCCAGCTTTGTTTTTCTTTTTCAACATGTCCTTGGTGATGCGGGGTCTTTTCTGATTCCCTACAAATTTTAGGATCGTTTGTTCCAGCACTTTGAAAAATGTCATTGGAATTTTGATCGGGATGGCATTGAAGGTATAGATTGCTCTGGGTAGCATAGACATTTTAACAATGTTCATTCTTCCAATCCATGAGCATGGAATGTTTTTCCATCCTTTTATGTCTTCTTCAATTTCTTTCACGAATGTTCCCATAGTTCCTAGAGTATAGATCCTTTACCTCTTTGGTTAGGTTTATTCTGAGGTAACTTACGGTTTTTGGTGCTATTGTAAATGGAATCGTTTCTCTAATTTCTCTTTCTACAGTTGCATTGTTAGCATATAAGAAAGCAACTGATTTCTGTGCATTGATTTTGTATCCTGCCACATTACTGAATTGCTGTATGAGTTCTAGTAACTTGAGGGTGGAGTCTTTTGGGTTTTCCACATAAAGTATCATGTCATCTGCAAAAAGAGGGAGTTTGACTTCTTCTTTGCCAGTTTGAATACTTTGTATTTCTTTTTGTTGTCTGATTGCTCTTGCTAGGACTTCTAGTACTATGTTGAACAATAGTGGTGAGAGTGGGCATCTTTGACATGTCCCTGATCTTAAGGGAAAGGCTCTCAGCTTTTCCCCATTGAGGATGATATTCACTGTGGGTTTTTCATAGATGGATTTTATGAACTTGAGGAAGAGTTTCTATCTCTATACTCTGAAGAGTTTTAATAAGGAGAGGATGCTGTATTTTGTCACATGCTTTTTCTGCATCAATTGAGAGGGCCATATGGATCTTCTCTCTCCTCTTATTTATGTGTTCTATCACACTGACTGATTTGTGTTTGTTGAACTACCCTTGCATCCCAGGGATAAATCCCACTCGGTCTTGGTGGATGATCCTTTTGATGTATTGTTGGATCCTATTAGCTATGATTTTGTTGAGGATTTTGGAATCCATATTCATCAGGGATATTGGTCTGAAATTCTCCTTTTTGATGGGGTCTTTGCCTGGTTTGGGGATTAAGGTAATGCTGGCCTCATAGAATGAGTCTGGAAGCTTTCCTTCTGTTTCTATTTTTTGAAACAGCTTCAGGAGAATAGGTTTTATTTCTTCTTTGAATGTTTGGTAGAATTCCCCAGGGAATCCATCAGGTCCTGGACTCTTGTTTTTTGGGAGGTTTTTGATCACTGCTTCAATCTCGTTACTGGTTATTGGCCTATTCAGGTTGTCAGTTTCCTCCTGTTTCAGTCTTGGGAATTTATAGGTTTCCAGGAAGGCATCCATTTCATCCAGGTTGCTCAGCTTATTGGCATATGATTGTTGATAATAATTTCTAATAATTGTTTGTATTTCCTTGGTGTTAGTCATGATCTCTCCTCTTTCATTCAACATTTTATTAATTTGGGTCCTTTCTCTTTTCTTTTGGATATGTCTGGCCAGTGGTTTTTCGATCTTATTAATTCTTTCAAAGAACCAGCTTCTAGTTTCATTGATCTGATCTACTGTGTTTCTGGTTTCTAATTCATTGATCTCTGCTCTAATCTTAATTATTTCTTTTCTAATGTGTGGCTTAGGCATCATTTGTTGCTTTTTCTCTAGTTCTTTAAGGTGTAGAATTAGTTGGTGAACTTAGGATTTTTTTATTTTTTTGAGTGAGTCTTGGATGGCTATGTATTTCCCCCTTAGGACCGCCTTTGCAGTATCCCATAGGTTTTTTACCGATGTGCTTTCATTCTCATTGGTTTCCATGAATTGTTTAAGTTATTCTTT